GCTAGGTTGAGTATCTCGGGCATCGGCACCAGGTGTCGATATCAGGAATAGAAGCCTACCCGTAGGATTTGGGTCGTTAATCAATATTCCACTTCTCCAAACATTGCGGTCAATGCAGTCCTTTTTGGAAAGCTTAAATTACTACAGCCGGTTCAATAAATTTATCGCCCTATACGCCTCAGTCCTTTATGAATTGATAGAGGCGGAATTCCACGAGATGAGGCGGTTGGACAACTCGGAGGATGATCATGCAACAAACCAAGATCACGATGGTGATACCCAGATCGACGATGACCACGGTCAGAGGCTGGTGTGTGTCTGTTATAAACAGATGACAAAGATGGATGGTCATGACCAACCAAATGCAGAGGGGTCTAATGGCGAACAAACAAGTGGTCATCGTTAAGAAAAAGCTATGATCGCGTTCACAATGCTGAAAGCAAAAGTTGCCCAGACCCCGGTGCTAATACATTTTGACCCTTATCGTCGGTCAGTGATAGTGTATTATGCCAGCAAATGGGCGGTGTCCGCAGCTTTGTTGCCAGAACACGACGAAGTGAATTGGCCTGTTATGTTCAGAAGTCGCACGCTAAAACCGAATGAAATCAACTACGGTGTGGTGGAGAAAGATATCCTGGCCCTGCTCCGGATATAAGATGTTTGCTATACACTACTAGTATCGCGGGACCTTAAAGGTGCTCACACGGTATAAAACTCTGGCGTGGTTGATGCACCCATCGGGCCTTAACGGAAGACCTGGAAGATAAGCAGCTTTACTGTCAACTTGGACTCAGGAGATTAACCGATGCAACAAAGGAGAGGACAAAATTCTTGGCACTCTTGCCGCACACCACGGGAAGATGTGGATGATATGCTGATCGCAATCGCGCCCCGGAAGCAACCGAGACAAATTATCAGTATGCCACCCCCTACGGTCATCCGCAAAGAATCGCTTCTTGTCGTCAGCTTAGATGAAGCAGCCCGCATCAAAATTAAAGGGGGCGCCTACAGCGCAATAATGCGGAAGCTTTTTCGAGTGGACTATAGTATCGGCTGCGATTCGACACTGGGTTGACCGTAAAAAGGCAGAGTTCCATTCGACACTGGGTTGACCGTGAACAAGGCAGAGTTCCATAAGTTGCTGCTGAGTTGCGAGTTTTTGGCCAAGCAGACAAGGGGACGAGTGGTCATTTGTGGAGATTCCAACCTGGTCATCAGGCAGATGAGGAATGAAACTGACTGCAAGGCACCGGGACTGCAGTTACTACGTCTCAAGGCCATAGGTCAACTGCGATCAAGACCGACTCATGAATTCTTACATGAAAAGCGCGATTGGAATCAAAGTGCCGATAAACTGGCTAGCTTCGCTTTACAGCTGGAAAAAGGCATGGTCAGACTGACGGAGCAGGATTGTCATTATTTATAAGCGTTGAACCGACTGGACGAGTTATCAGTACCATCGACCAACAATCAAGTGGCCTGGATAAAGGCGATCACGCGATCAGCCACACGGAGGCGTGAAGTGCCCAAGGTTATGCAAGACGAAATGATACAGCAGATGCGACTGGAGCGCATAAAGCAAGCACAAGATGAAGAAAGTTAGATTGCCAACCTCAAACTTTACCTAGTCAGGGATGTTGCCGAATTGGATACTACGGAAGCAAAAGCAAGTGCGGTTATTGCCCCAGATTGCAAGGTGGGTGAGGGTGGATTGTTATATTTTTGCCCACGAGCGGCTGCAAACCCCAGTGACCGCGCGGAGCTCGTCCGTTTGGTGGTTCCGTAATCACTGCAAGATGATGTTCGACACCACTACCATGCAAGTCTGAAAGGTGCTCACCAAGGGGTAGGCCGAACGTATCACCGCGTGCGATCGCACTTTCATTGGAGAGGCTTGTTTAGAAGCGTGCAGCAGTATGTGGGGAAGTGTTTCGACTGCGAAACCGGTAAAGGTTGTCCGATACTACGAGGCGAATCTTCGGGGAATTTACAGGCCACGTACCCGTTTCAGATCATTGCAATGGATCATACCCCCTCGCTGCCCAGGTCATTCAAAGGGAATACCAAACTGTTGCCTTAGGTGAATTTGATTTTTGGCTACGTGATCGCTAAAGCTAGCTCGTCAAGAACGGCCCAGACGATCGCGGAAGGGTATGAGGAATGTGTCTTCCGGCGGTTTTGGGTAAGTGAACCTATTCGTCACGACCTCAAACCCGGAATCATGTTGAATTTCTTTCGCGCGTTCGACCGCATCGCTGGTCAAAAACAACGTGCCACCATGGCCTATCGGCCTCAAGACAATGGTACAGCTGAACGTATGGTCCAAACATTGACCAGGGCGCTAAAAATGTGTGTCACGGATGTGAACCAACCAGATTGGGACGATTACGCTGAACACCTGACCTTCGCCATCAATACGGCCCATGACCGAGTACGTAATGATACCCCGTCCTATCTCATCCATGGTTGGGATCCGCGATCAACGCTGGAAGCGACCCTGCCGTTGGGGTGTACTAAAATACGTGATCGGGATCCCCGGAAATGAAGCTATCACATACAGCGGCAACTATAACGAGCCCGCGCTACGGTGAATGACCGACTGAAGGACGCCCTCAAGACCCAGCTGACCTATACAACTCTGATCAAGGGCCAAATAGACTCAGCCGCGGTAGCCAAGTGTGGCTATTTCTGGATTGAGTGAAGGAGGGAAATGCCAGGAAGCTGGATCACATGTGGCACGGCTCGTTTCGGGTGATCGAGAAGTGCGGGGAACATGCAGTGCGGTTAGAGGTACATGGGCCCCACACCGATTGCTCTCACTCGTTCACGTATCCAAGCTAAGGATAGTACGAATTCTACCTGATCGACCTGCTGCGCGGCTGGAGGTGGAAGAAACAGAGCATATTGATTTTGAAGAAGCTCTGCTTCCGGAGGACAGCTAGGAAAACGATCTAGCCAAAGGAGAATGCGAGGTGGATGGTGTCCAAGATGTCACTACAGGACGAAAGACTCGGTACGGAAGGGTAAACCGACAGAACCTGGTCCGATGGAAGGGTCATAAGGATGAGACTTGGGTGGATGAGGCAAACCTCAATTGTGGTGCTTTATTGCAAGAGTTGAACGTGATCGAGCTAGGAGAAACCAATGCGAAGTGATGCAAGTGCATGAGGAAGGATCCATATGTTAGGGTGACCAGGGACGGTAACCGCGGCCTTGAAGCATGGGGTCCGTATGGTCTGTGAGACAAAGAGGGATGACCACGTGAACCATGAATTTAAAGGAGTGATGTGGTCAACTAACATGGTGATCATGCAGTTAAGATGACCAAGAGCGGTGACCGCGGCCACGAAACACAGTGACCGCCTGGTCTGTGCAGGGAGGAGGGATAACTACCTAAGCTATGGATGTAAAGGAGTTGCGTGGTCAACCAAAGCGGTGTACACAGAAGCAAGAAAACATGGTGAACAGACTTCAATGGAAGTGAATTTAATAAGCAACGACTGGTGGTCATGACTGTGACCATAAACGTCATGGTATTTCATGCTGGAGACGACCGTTCACTGCGCTACAGACTTGATCCGGAGAAGGTTGATGGACGCGCCTGGGTGGTCAGCAATGGCTGCTCGATGCTGATTGCGCCAGGGGTCAGCGGAATCCGCAAGGAGTAAGGCTGAGGCCAGATTCGGGATTTTGGTCTGTCGACAGCCAAACCCTGGATACCACCAGCATTTCTCAAACCATCCTAGAAAGTGCAGGACGAAGAGGTCCAATAGGATGTCGAGGTCACACTGACCCCCGGCCAACCCCTCCAACTCGAATCGGAGTACAGCCTTTCACCGGGGGCTGGATTTGGAATGCCGACGATGCCTTTCTTTATAGAAAGCGCTCAATTTAGGGTCTTACGCGCGACTTGAACCCACGATGATCGGGAGCACATGAGTAGACTCCCGTAACGCCTGACGATGATGGTCTTCGAACTCACGATACGCGGTCATCAAAGCTTGGAAGCAGCCAGTCGGGCGGAATGACAAAGGCGCAATAGGCCGATCCAAGACATCCCAAGGTTTTTGGCTGTATAAAGCAGCGATCTGGGCGGAGGTCACTACCCGCAGGGACCACTGATCTTCAGTTAGCGGACGCAAGGAACCGTCCGGAACGGAGAATCGGTAGTGCTTGGGCCAGGAGTAGTGGTTGAGCACGAGATATAAGTCTAGGTGACCTACAGTGACCAAGCCCAAGCGATGGGATGACCACGGCGAAAACTGGCCAGGGGCATAAGTTGCACGAGTGCGATACCCAGGTATACACTTATCGCGCGAGGACCGCACGGGGGGTAAAGCCTTGAAGGCGGTCGGGGATAAGAGCTTGTTCACTGTGGGAATGACCGTAGCTTGGTACCCTCACCGACCCATCGAACTCGTCGGACGCCTTGGGTGGCTCTGTGGTCGGAGGTGTCGCAGCGATAGGCGGCGACCGGGAGAAGGCTGATGAAGCACGAATATCACGTCATGACGAAGCCGGAAGGGTCGCGGGTGTATGAATGGCTGGATCGATCTCGATCGGCGTGTCAGCCAACCTATCAGCAGATCTTGTGGTCGAGGCAAAAGACCGCCGTCGAACGGAAGAACGTGACCGTGACAGTGCTTTGAGCATGGCCTCGTCAGCAGATTCTACGGAGACGTCGATATCCTGCGCATGAGATGCGGAGGGGAAATATGCTCGTGTTTGCGTCTTTGACCGCCGAGTCACAATAGACGGTGGCGTGGTCACTGTCTTAGGATTGGACGATTTTCTGGTCGTACATGCTGGAATCTTGGGGTCGTCGAGGCGAGGGCGAGACGCCTGCCGGGAATTGGGGTGAGTGGATGCCGATTGTGAATGGGTAGTTGGGCCGGCGGGCCCTGCGGCCGTAGCGGAAGGGCTGGCAGACGAATCTGGTCCGAGCGCAACGCGGGGATGACCGGAGGAAATTGAAGCGTATCGCTGTTGGGTCACATGGTCTACGGCGGGACCACCGCAGATGGGGACCTATAAGCCGAACTCGAGGTGACCGTAACGCGCGCACGCTTGTTCGGGGGTGACACAGGATCGGCCTCTGACTGCTCTCTCTGCCGCTTATCATAGGCGAGCCTCACCGACGGCGGAACACCCATAACGAAGTTGACCAGCTGGTTCAGCTGGGCCTGAAGGTCGCGAGTAAGCAGATCCCGTTCTGCTCTCAACAGTGCTAGCTCCTCGATATGAGCATCATTGGAGGAGCGCAAGCGGTGAAGCTCTTGGCGGATAGAAGCGCGCTCCGATTTCAATTTGTCAAGCTCCCGACCACGTTGTGCAAAGCTGCGAGCAAGCGCATCGAAACCTCTCCACATTAGAGCAACACGCTGCTCACTTTTCACTACCGCTCGCCGTAAGTCTACACACTCCTTAGCTAACTGGTCAACCTTGGTCGTGTCCACGTCATGCACGTGGTAACTACCCACGTCAGAATCAGCAGGATCAGCATTGGCAGAAGAGGCATTGTCCGCCGGGGCGTCATCAGATCCGACCGAAAATCCAACAGGGTCGGCAAGGTGGCCAGCCAGAGCGGGACCGGCTTGGTCAGACTCGGCAGTGTCTACGTTACGCACGTGGTCGCTACCCACGTCAGCATCGGCAGGATCAGCATCGGCAGAAGAGGCATCGTCCGCGTGGGCGTCATCAGATCCGACCGAAAGTCCAACAGAGTCGGCGAGGTGGTCAGCCGGAGCGGGACCGGCTTGGTCAGAATCGGCAGTGTCCACGTTACGCACTTGGTCGCTACCCGCGTCAGCATCGGCAGAAGAGGCATTGTCCGCCGGGGCGTCATCAGATCCGACCGAAAATCCAACAGAGTCGGCGAGGTGGTCAGCCGGAGCGGGGCCGGCTTGGTCAGGCTCGGTCGCGTCTGGTTCAAGGCCAGTGTATTCTTCGTTATCAGGAGCAGGGGTGGCCAACCGCAGCGCAGTCAGCTGAGGAGACGTCGAACCTGAAGGCAGGGGTTGTTTAACGGAATGGTGAAATGGCGGAGACATCTCCAGCAATGATCAAGGGAAGGTTGATCAAAAAGTGCTTAGCCAGATCGGCACCGGCTGCCGACTAACAGAGCAGGGGACGACTGTGGTGAAGTGGTCAAAGGAAATCCTGACCATCGCCTTGATCATCATGTAAGTGCATGTGGGACCGGTCGTGCCTGTCTTGGGACTAACCGCTGCAGATATCTCCAACGATAAGCTGGACGGTTTGCAAGTCATCAGTGGCGGTCAAAGATTATGACCACCGGTTAGGGTCACGAAGAATGACTGACCGGTCATGGTCACTATGGGTGACCAGTGGTACCAGTGGTCATGGTCACGATGCGGGACCAGTGGTCATGGTCACTGCAAGATGACCAGCGGTCATGTTGGCAGTTAAGGTGGTTTACTTTAAGCACAGGGAATGGGTGGTGGCAGGCGAACAACGTAGCAGAAAACTGAGATAAAGAGAAGTGTAAACACAGTTCTAGCCCCTGATAGGTTAATAACGACTAGTCTTGATTTTCCTACAAAAGACACGCGTCAGCATTCCTCCGGGCTGGAATACTAGTGGCCGCCCGGCGTACAAGGTTTACTGTCTCCGTGTTTGCTCGAGGTTTGTCCCTAGATTGCTTGGCTAGGGACAAGTATACTCATTCAAGTTAGCCCGCGGTCGGACGTGACAAGCATACAAGGCAAGGTCTTCAGACGGATCAAGTGATCAGAAGGACAAGGTGATCAAGTGGTCAGAAGAACAAGGGGGATCAAGTATCCACATTTGGGCAAGGTGACCTCATAGAAGGCCAGGCAACCCTAGGAGAGTGTCAGAAGTAACCGTTGGTCGTGTGAAGAATTACCACGCGACCACACCCCACCGATCCTCAACTCTGTCAAGACAAGAAATCGACCTCAAGACACCTAAAAGAGTGCAACCGCTCGCCGACGGGTACACAAGGTGAGAAGGAACAAGACAAGACAAGACACACGGTCCGGAGTACCCCCTCCGTTAGTTGGTCGTCTGGGCGCAAGTAGGGAGTCAGGATCTCTACGTAAATGAACGAATCTCACTCCGCCTTACTGGCATCCTTAGTATGGCTTGCCTAGAACGCCACGAGCCATGGATAGATTGGAGGTCGAAGACTTTAGGCGCAACGCGCACTGTTCTTAGTGGAGCTTTGGAGAGACCTGATCCTGCCTCTGCTAGGAAATAAAAGCATTATTGGCGCGAGACACGGAATGATACAGTTAGTGTGCTGGACATCGGTATGTCTGAACTCATTGAGTTTGACGATGTCTAAAATGTTAGTTACGAGCATAGCTCTCTGACTGTTAGTGGGGCGGCACGTACTCCGTCGAGTGATGATCGTTGTGATACAAACCACTGAATGATGAAGTCATTGTTGGCCTAGAGCCAAGTCGTTATGAGTTGAACCCATCTGGTGAGCGTGGAGTAACACGTAAGTACCCACTGAGTGTTGTTGACCGTGATCGCGACACACTGAATTTTATCCAAGACGTTGTTGTTAAAACCCCAAGTCATCAAGGGCGTGGCCCATTTGATGAGCGTGGAGTGGCACGTAAGTACCCACTGGGTAATGATATCACTAGAAGTGGCTCATCACCAGATATCGGTAATGGCATCGGATTTGACATAGATCAAATTAAGCTTGACCTACTTCATGACCTTGGGGGAGGTATAATCCCGGATGTCGGTAATGACATCGGCTCTTTTAATGAGCAACTTAAGGTTGATAAGCATGTTAATATTGAAAAAATCAATGTCTCGGGTGTCGTTAATGACACCGAATCTTTGTACAGAGCAAGTTAAGGATGATGATGACATCAACCTTGGGAACGAGATAGTTCCAGTCTCTTCGAGACGTTTAGTCCTCGCAGAGACGACAGAGACAACAAATTGATGCTACAAAACGCAAGACGTCTGTTGCGTCACTGAGTGATTATAGCGAGCAGGTATATACATTTGTTAATGGAGTGACCGGTGACGTAAATGGGTCAGTGAGTCTTGAGACTCTACCGTCACTACATTCTCTGTTAGAGCTAGACGAAATGTCTGTCTATGATTTTGGCCTGACTTTAAAGTCGGATGACTTGTCTGAAGTGGTGGTCATCAGATCCGATAGTCAGTTGAACTCGTCGTCACATATTGACGAAGCTGTCTTGAAAGACACAAAGGCGGCACTGAGTGCTCGAAGTGGGCCATCGATCTTGGAAGATCCTCAAGCCCCGTTTTATCCTTTGCTTAAGGAGTTTCAGGATGTGGTTTGTCACGATCCACCTTCCACTCTGCCTCTTGTTGGAAAGGTACGTCATGAAGTTGACCTTGTTCCTGGAACCAAATGCTGTGTGACATGGCAATGGCCCCTACCAAAGGAGCGGTGTGATCTCATTGACGAGTTCTTTCGTGCAAAGCACGCGGCTGGAATGGTACGTGAGAGCTTGTCTCCGCACTCGACACCGACATTTTGTGTTAGTGATCCAAATGGTAAGTGGCGCATTGTGCATGCTTATAATAAGCTTAATGCAGCCACTATACCAGCAAAGATGTCTACTCCTAGGAAGTATGTTCTTCAGAACGCTATGGTAGATTGTACCATGTTCAGTGCACTCGACTTAGTCGATGGATATTACCAGCTGCTCATGCGAGCAAGTAGTATTCCGCTCACAGCGACTAGTACTCCTAGCGTTATGCTTTAGGAGTGGCTTGTTATGCCTCAAGGGCTGTCTGATGCCCCGGCTACTTTTAATCGTCTTGTGACGCAATTTTTTCGACCTCACCGAGAATATGCACAAAGCTGTTTCGATGAAATCTTTGTCCAGAGCCGTGCAGATCATGCTAGGTCAGATATGAACAATCACATTGGTCATTAACGAGAAGTGCCCGAGTGCATGCGTACAAACAAGCTGTATGCAAATGCATCGGAATGCATTTTTGGTGCAGAAGAAATATACTTTCTCGGGTGATTCATTGAAATGCGTGGCCTTCGAGCGGACCCCGCTAAGGTAAAGTCATTGTTGACTGGTCGGTCCTGTCTAATTAGAAGGACTTGCTTAAATGGCTTGGCCTTGCTTATTACTTGCACAAATACAGTGCAAACTACGCTGACATGGCAATGCCTTAAAATAAACTTCTCAATAAGGATGCAGCTTGGTGTTGGGAAGCAGTCCATACTCAATCTTTTGAAGCTATAAAAGAAAGTCTCCTACATGCCCCAATTTTTGCTTTACCTGACTCTGAGTGGCCTTTCAGTGTCTTTTGTGACGCATTTAATTTTGCTATTCTTTGCGCTTTATTGTAGACAGATGTTGATGGACATGAACGCGTCATTGCGTACAAACCTCTTTAGCTAAATGCTGCTGAGAAGAACTATCTAGCTCACGACAACGAGTTACTTGCAATAATGTATGCTCTTGTAAAGTTTAGAGTACGTCTACTTGGATCAAAGCCTTTTGTGATCTTCACAGATCACGCGACGTTACGCACTGCGACACAGTCGCCTCACCTCTCACAGCGTATAACCCGTTGGCTTTCATTTTTGCCGAACACAACTTCGAGTTGAAGCATAAGTCGCACACAACTTCGAGGTGAAGTAAAAGTCGGGTAAGCAATATACTTTAGCTGATGCGCTGTCACGCAGACCTGATTATGAGCTTGTCCATTTTACGACTCTGTCGTCATCCATTATGGATCTAATTCATGCGGCATTTGCACGTGATGAGCAACGTGTAGCATTGCTACATGCTTTTGGAAGCGAGGAGTTAAAAGCCTCGATCATCAAATTGTCGTCAGGTTTACGTGCGAGCCTACATCTATATGTCATCGATGGCGGTTTGTTGTGCGACTGCACAGTTGTTTAGGATGTGACTCGCATCGTAGTTCCTCACGATGAGGACTTGAATTATTGCATCCTCTTTGAGGTGCATGACACTTCTTTGAACGGTCATCTCCGCCGTGAGAAGACCTACGACTCGGTGAGCCAGGCTTATTGGTGGCCAAGATGTACAAATGGGTGAGAACCTATGTGCGCACGTGAGAAATGTTTCAACGGGTCAAATTCTTAGCACATGTGGCTGCGCCGCTAGCTAGTCTGCCTGTACCCACTGGGTGTTGGGAGTTTATGAGTAGGGATTTTGTGCTCGGACTACCAAAGTATTCGGAAGGCAACACTGGTATTGTGGTCTTTGTTGACCGTTTGAGTAAGATGGCTCATTTAGCAACTGTGCAGGATACGATCGATGCTGACGGCACGGCAAAGCTGTTTATCGATCGTGTTTTTGACAACATGGTTTGCCTGTGGCAATTGTCTTTGATAGATATCCTCGCTTCACTGGGAAATTTTGGAAGTATATCTTCAAGGTGCTCGGCACCCGATTGGATATGTCCACGGCGGATCATCCGCAGACCGGTGGTCAGACTGAGCGTGTTAATCGCATCATCAACGACATTTTGCACAGTATTTGCACTGATACGACACGGCGTTGGAGCTCTATGCCCACTGCGGTCGAGTTTGCGTTGAACAACGCTGTTCATGCCTCCACAAGATTTACTTCATTACACGTGAATGGTCTCACTCACCCACGCGTTCCATAAACGATAAACAGGCGAGCGAGTTTCTCGTCACGCGATTGAATGTCTTACGGCATGTAGGTGACGCAATGGCGAGTATATATTGCAAACAAAAGGAACAAGCTGATACCAAAGGCAGAAATTGTATTGAGAGTTATAAAGTTGGAGACTTAGTCTTACTTATCGTTAACAATCTACCTACCATGGTAATTTCAGCGGTCTATAGGACCAAGTTGCGTCCTTGCTTCGTTGTAACGTTTACGGTTGTGGCCAAGAAGGGCCCAGCGTATACGCTTAACGTTCCACGCAAGATACGAACACACCCAGTGTTTTACGTTGGCTTGCTTAAGCCTTATCTTTATCGGTCGCTGGTGGATCACGAGGCGCTTGCGTCGAAAGAGTTGGTAATTCCACAAGTCGGGGAGCCCTCAAGATA